ACACACACACACCACACACACACAGACACACACACACACACAGACACACACACACACAGACACACACACACACACAGACACACACACACACACACACACACAGACACACACACACACACACACACACACACACGTGCACGCACACACCCAGACATGCATACACAAAGATGTGTGTGTACGTGCGTACCTGCACACAAACCAACCAAAGCAAACCATCACTCCTCGCCTTCCCCCACCCACCAGTGCGACGAGGAGACGTGTGGGTGTGTGTCGCAGAACATGGTCACTCGCCTGGTGAGCTCTGAGAGCTCCATGTGTGAGCCTGAGTGTCTCACTGCCTTACCTGTTCCGCCCCTCACCCTCCTCCTCCCTCCCACCCACCAGTGCGACGAGGAGACGTGTGGATGTGTGTCGCAGAACATGGCCACTCGCCTGGTAAATTCTGACAGCTGCAGAGGGGCCCTCTGCCCCAACTACCCCCGCTGCCAAGGCACCATGCGCCGCCAGGTATGTGCACACATGCATGCATGCATGCTCGGACTCACGTGCGCGCACACCACACACCCACCCCCACACCCACCCCCACACACATACACACACACACCACCCCCACACACACCCACCCCCACACACACCCACACACACCACCACACACACACACACACACCCATGCCAGGCATTTTTGCTTCCATGAGACCACAAGGCCAACTTGCAACCACGGACGTGCACTGCTTCTCTTGCCCTTGTGCCCTTGCATATCCCCCCACCAACTCTTCCCTACCCCTCTCTCCCAACAGTAGATCCGTTGAGTTTACTTTTGAGAATTCTCAAAAGTAACTCAACATAGCTCCCCCACCCCCTCTTCCCTACCCCTCTCTCCCAGCCATAGATCCGAGCCTGAGCTGTACCAATGGCTCTGCTATCTCTTCTCTTCATTTCCCTCCTCTCCTCCCTTCCATTTCTTCCCCCTCCTGTTGTTTCCCAGATTTCAGAGGCGGACCTCTATCACCGCCTTGGCTATCTCCGCCACTCCCTCGCAGTCACACGCACCCTTGCCAAGGTAGGGTGCACTTGCCTGGAACCTTCTTGTACGTGCTGGTTGGGCTGGAAGCTCCAGGGTGAGCAGTGGACTCTCCTCCTTAGTGTCTCCTATTCTCCTCCACCTCTTTCACCCGCTCTTGATTTTGCTTCCCTCGGCTCCCCCAGCCCAAGCCCTTACCCTCACCAGCCTTGCCTCCATACTCCCCCTTGCTCCATTTTCATCAGGTAAGGGACCCAGCACAGTTGGCAGTAGCAGAGCGCAAGCTTCAGCCAATCAGGAGAGCTTTGGATACAGCACATGGGGTGGTGGAGAGGATGTGTGACAGCTCAGCGTACAAATGGGTTAAGATGGGTGACCTCTGTGTGACATAGTTGCAAATTTTTACATACATAAAGGTTTTTGTAACAAGGGCCCGGGACCCGGAGCATTGCCTGTGCCACCCAGCTAGTGCTTGTGCGGCACTGATTGAGTGTGCAAACCATCAATCGTTGTGCCAACCCAACCCAGACAGGTCACACTAAACCTTGAACCCTGCACACTGGAGTAAAATCTGACGAAGCCAAAATACATCATCTGTGAGCTACTAATAAGCAAGAAACTACGTACTAGAGCATACATGTGTGAGCTTTCAAAACCAGCACTAACAGGCACTGGCATCTGAGACAGCAGCAGCCCAGACTAGGCCATTCCAGGTGAACGCCCTAGCTAGGAAGAGCCGAGCCGAAGCATTCTCTAAGGATCAACAGCAAGAGCATCCCAATCTAGGGCCGCTAGGCTAGCAATCACGGCTCATTGGGCCTTGTAACATGCTCATTGGGCCATTGCACAATGGGGGAGGATGGGTGTCTGCTTGGGGTCCTGAAACTACTCCCTCCCACACCTCACCTCTTCACTTTTCAACTCCTCACTCACTCCCCTCACTCACTCCCACTTCCTCCCCCTTGGCCCTCTCCTCCAGCCCCAGCATGGTGAGAAGAACAGTGGGGGGCATGTGGGCATCATTATACAATGAAGAAATGGCCCCTGTTGGGCACCACATGCACCACACTGCCCTCCACCATCCTCCCCACATGCCGCGCATAGCCCACCCGTGCCCCCCAGTCCTCCTCAGCGTGCCATATGTGCACCTTCCCCTTCAACCCCCCCTCCCCTTCCCTCTCCTCTCCGTCGCGTTCTCCCCCTTTCCCCGCTCCCTCCTTGCCCCCTTTCTGAGAGAGATCGATCTCAGAGAGGTTAAAGCCCCAATCGGAAACGAGGATCTCGAAATCCCGATACCATGACACGCCTGCTCCTTGTTTTGCCCCCTCCTGCATGTTCTGATGGAGGGGGGACAGCAGGAGGAAAGGCAGATGGAGGGTGGAGAGGAGAGGTGAGAGGTGTGCGAAATTCAAGACGCCTGAAGGGAGGTGCACGTGCAGAGAGCTTGAAGCCCCAGTCAGCAGCCAAGAACTCGAAATCCCAATACCATCACACGCCTGCTCCTTGTTTTGCCCCCTCCTGCATGTTCTGATGGAGGGGAGACAGGGGAGGGGGAGGGGAGAGGAGGGGGTGGTGAGAGGTGTAAGAATGAAAGCATTACTGAGTCGAATCACGAGGGAAACGAGAGTTGACACACACACACACACACACACGCACACGCGCAGACGCAGACGCACGCACGCACACACACACACACACACACACACACACACACACACACACACACACACACACACACACACACACACAGAATGTACACACTCACCCGTGCAAAGTACCCGAACACATCAGTGCTGGCCAGGCAGCCATGTCCGACTCATACAGGTCAACCAGGTGCGGATGGGCACTCACTCATTCACATGCACATGCGCACGCTCCCTCCTTACACACCCCAACACTCACCCGGGCGAAATAACCAAACACATCAGTGCTCGCGAGGGCAGCCATGTCCGAATCATACAAATCCACGGGATGCGGATGGAAGGGATCCCGAAAGTTTCCCATCGGCACCAGGGTTTGGGGAGAACCACGCGTGCAGCAGGGAGGGCACGTGGCGGGCCAGCAGCAGCGTGATGCGATCTTGCACTGGCATCTGCTGCCACGTGGCTGTGAACTCGTGCTTGGGCCACGTGGGGTCCCAGGGGTTTCCCCACCACGCTGATTATCGTCAGACCCTTGAGCCTGGGAGCGAAAAAAGAGGGGAGGGGGGGAAGGATGGAGGAGTCAAAGAGGTGGGTGGGAGGATGGAAACGACTAGATTGGCTGTGAACTCGTGCTTGGGCCACGTGGGGTCCCAGGGGTTTCAGACCACGCTGATGATGGTTAACCCTTTCAGCCAGTGACAGTGTTGGGGTGGGACAGGAATGACGGAAGGAAGGAGGAGAGGAGAGACGCAGAGGGAGTGCTGAGTTGAAACTCATGCTTGAGCCACGTGGGGTCCCACGGGTTGCCCACCACGCTGATTATCGTCAGGCCTTTGAGCCTGGCAGTGAGAGGGGAAAGGGAGCAACGAAAGAAGGAGTGGAGAGAAGCAGAGGGTGTCGTTCCCTTAGGCTGAGTTGAACTCGTGCTTGGGCCACGTGGGGTCCCATGGATTGCCCACCACGCTGATGATCGTCAGCCCTTTGAGCCAGAACGTGTGTATAGAAAAGGACGAGAAGGAGGGTGGAAAGGAAACGGAAGTCAAGAGGTGGGCGCATGGAAGCGGCAACGTTGTGCTGGTCTCGTGCTTAGGCCACATGGGGGTCCCATGGGGGTCCCATGGGGGTCCCATGGGGGTCCCATGGGTTGCCCACCATGCTGATTATCGTCAGCCCTATCAAACTGAAGGTGGGAAGGGAAAGGGAGAGCGGGGAGGAATGAGAGGTTGGACATGTAGTGAGGTGTGATGGAGCGAGATGAGGAGCGAGATGAGGAGAGAGATGAGGAGAGAGATGAGGAGAGAGATGAGGAGAGAGATGAGGAGCGAGATGAGGAGAGAGATGAGGAGAGACGCGATGAGCCTGAATGTGGTCACCCTACCCCCCATCCACATCCCACATGCATGCTCACGCACAAAGCCTCACAACCGGTGCGGCAGGTATCGGAGTGACCCAAGAGCCACATACGTCCCCATGGACGTTGCAACGAGGTAATACTTCTCCTCCAACCCCACGGCCGTGACCACTTCGCCCCTTCCCCCTCACATGTGGGTCAGGTATCTCATCCCCACCCCCAGCACTCACTCACCGATGAGGTAAATATCTGAGCGCTCCCAGAGCCACGTAAGTCCCCATGGAAGTCGCGACGAGGTAGAACTTCTCCCCCAACCCCACTGCCGTCGCCACCTCGCCTGCGTCGCGCATGTCGCTCTGCAGCGTGCGCCCAGGGTGGGGGTCGCTCTGCCCGTACCCCAGGTTTGGATCGCCTCACTGCCCGTATGTACCCAGGCTCTCCCACGCAGCACTCACCGGTGCGGCAGGTATCTGAGCGCGCCGAGCGCCACGTAAGTCCCCATGGAGGTCGCGACGAGGTAGAACTTCTCCCCCAACCCCACTGCCGTTGCCACCTCCCCTGCGTCGCGCACGTCGCTCTGCAGAGTGCGCTCCGGGTTCGGGTCGCTCTGGCCATAGCCCGCTCGGTCGTAGCTCACCAGCCGAATGTCGTGGGATTCTAAGAACTCCTGGGGTTGGGAGGGGTGGAGATGGGTGGAGAGGTGCGGGGACGGATGGACAACTGATGCTAGCTGGCTGTAGCATGTGGCAACGCGGGTTGGGGTCGCTCTGCCCGTACCCCGCGCGGTCGTACCTCACCAGGCAAATGCCGTTGGCTTCTAGGAACTCCTGGGGTGGGGAGGAGTTGGGAGGGGAGGCGAGGGATGGGGAGGGGTGTGGGTCGGTGGGGATGGGTGTAAAGGAACCGTACACAACCCAGTTGCACTGGACATGTAACGCCTGTGGGCTGTGTTAAGGGCACTCCGCTGCGCCAAATAACACCCTCGTTTTGACCCAGTGGGTAGCGAGGTGTTATACTGGTTTCAGAGCCTAGGGTTCGAGTCCCGGCTGGTCCACACTTTCCACCTATGGTGAGAACTGAAGTGTGGTTACCAGCTCGAACCCAGTGAACGATCCTGAAATCTAGGTCCCAGCGGCAGGGGGCCGACTTCCTGAAGTCCGAGGCCAACGGGGACGTTGGCACCAGGGGGGGACGAGTGTAACGCCTGTGGGCTGTGTTAAGGGCACTCCGCTGCGCCAAATAACACCCTCGTTTTGACCCAGTGGGTAGCGAGGTGTTATAGGACATGTCATCACAGAGATAGTGGACACGTCACGACCCAGAAAACATGACACGTCACGACCCAGAAGCATGACACGTCCACGACCCAGAACATGACACGTCACGACCAGAAACATGACACGTCACGACCCAGAAACATGACACGTCACGACCCAGAAAACATGACACGTCACGACCCAGAAACATGACACGTCACGACCCAGAAAACATGACACGTCACGACCCAGAAACATGACACGTCACGACCCAGAAACATGACACGTCACGACCCAGAAACATGACACGTCCACGACCCAGAAACATGACACGTCCCACGACCCAGAAACATGACACGTCCCACGACCCAGAAACATGACACGTCACGACCCAGAAGCATGACACGTCACGACCCAGAAACATGACACGTCACGACCCAGAAACAAGACACGTCACGACCCAGAAAAATGACACGTCATGACTCAGAAACATGACACAGTCATCGCACCTGCGTAATGTTGGGCAGCATGCTCAGTCGGCACGTCTGAGGTCGTGAATGGTGGGGAGGGGTTGGGGAGGGGTGGAGAGGGGTGTAACAGTACCCCACCCTGTCGTACCTGCGTGATGTTGGGCAGCATGCTCAGTCGGCACGTCTGCCACGCGTGCACCACCAGCACCTGGTACTTGGCCACGTCAGCAGCCGCGCCCATCTCGTGGTACGCCACGTGGCGGCCGTCCGAGAGGCGGACGCGCGGGCTGGTTACGTCAGCGTCGGTGAGCGGGACCGGCGGGGGGGCTTGAATGGCGCGGAAAATAAAGACGGCCCAGATGGCGATTATAAGAGCCACCACGGAAAAGTAGAGTGACGTGGCGACTGGAGGAGCAACGGGAGGGACAGAGAGTGAGAAAGGGAGGGGGAAGGGAGAACGAGAGAGCGAGAAAGGGAGAGAGAAAAGGAGAGTGAGAAAGGCAGATAGAAAGGGAGGGTGAGGGTTGAAAGAGAGACGGATGGAACTGCGCGGACGATAAAGACGGTCCGGATGGAGAATATAAGAGGCACTATGGAATGGTGGAGTGGCGCCGCGACAGCTGTCGGAACGGGGGTAGCGTGACAGACGCGACGCGGCAGGGTGCGGAAAACGCAATGTGGCGAGAGGAAGCGCTTCGGCGAGGGAAGCGAGGGAAGAAGGAGCCGCGGCGGGTTGGGCGAAAGGGACTTGGCGGGTTGGGCGGAAAAGGAGTAACCTTGGAGCACATTAAAGTTATACTCTTAGTCTTCTCAATGAGCATACTCTTATTTCTCTTACAGTACTCCAGCCACATTAGAACCCTTTCTTGAGGTTCTTCCAGTCTTCTCAAGCATTCCTTTTGAATCGTGTCGAAAGCATTCTTCTAGCGAGTTCTCACCTCCCTGCTTGCCTTTCCCCGCACTTCCCGGCCTCGCATTGCTCCCCCGCGCACGTCGCCGCGCCGCCGCGAGTCGCGCGCGCTCCTGCGGGGTCAGCTGCTTCGCGCCGCCTGCCTTTGCGGATTCCGGCTTTGAGTCGCCTCCCGCGCCCGATGCGGCGGCCAGTGAGGGCTGCTCGGAACCGTCAGATCCAGAAGCACCGGCCATCGTACGGTGATGAAGGTTGCTGTGTGTCGCAAATCTAAACTCGCATTCCCAGCACAAACCGAGATTCAACTCTTAAGTAACGCGGAACGGTACTTATCTAATGTATGGAGGAACGAGGGAGCGAGAGAGAGCGAGCAAGAGAGAGAGGAGAGCGAGAAAGGGGACGGTTGGATCTGGTCTGGTCCGGGAGGGGGAGAAAGATGAGCAGAGCACACGGCCAAGCGAGGCCCGAGGTGGACGAGATGGCAACAAGGGGCAATGCAGCCTGTCGTTAGTACGTACGGACGTAACGCAGCAGAGACATGTAGTACACCCTCTTTCGCGCTAGTAGAGCACCTGGTTGGAGAACGTACATGGATTGTAGAACGTCACCACGTTCAGAATGGTCTTGTCACCTACTGTACAAGCACAATGCGAAGAATGCGGTTAGGTAAGGTTATGCACTTTACAAAAAGCGTTGTCAGCATTTTCATCTGTTTGGGAAAGTTATGAAGCGATTACGGAGATTTTACGTCCTTGAGCCAGTTTGTCACGTGGGTCCGGCTTTCCCCCCAGGTTGCCTAAGAACGTTTATTGGCACCAGATCGCATGAGACAAGTACTGTAGCGACGAGTCGCGCAAGGTGAAAAGGTTGAGAAAGAGGGTGTACAGGGGGGGGGGGCTACAGTACAAGAACCATTCAAGACGGGCGACCTCCTGTACTGTCGTGTACGGTAGTGCCTGTTTCCCAGATCCAGACTTGAGGTGGCGATATTTCAACAACACGTCGATGGACAGAAAAGGGGCACATCTGCGTGGCGGGGTGGGGCGATATATACAAGAGATAAGACGAGTCGATAAACAGACGAGTGCATTGTGGGGGTGCCCTAGTTGGTTGGTGTCAAGGTGTAAATACTTGACAAATACGGTAGGTAGGAGGTGAGGTGAGGTAAACATCACAAAGCAATCCGTAAATTTTACAACCAACAGTGTCCTTTATTACATCACATCATCAACCTTATAGCACATATCTATCAAGCAGAATATCCCAGCCCAAGCCCCAAATGCTCCCTTTGTACATCTCTACGTACCACTAGTAGGTCTTACACACAAACTATTCGCCTCTGTTACAATCCCAAGTGGGACTTAGCGAAGGATCGCTCAGGGTTGATCGCAGGGCAGTGTTGCAGCGGAAGTATTGACCTCAGATCAGAGTGAATGTAAATGACTGAGATTGATAATAGCATGCATACATAGAGTTTATATGTGAAATACAAAGGAAATACGAAACGACCTAGACTAGCCATGTACTCTAAGGGGTACATTCCCTTATTACAGCGAAGTTCAAAAACCGTGCGGCGCGGGAACCCGTTTCAAACTTGTTCCTGCTCTTTTCACTTCAAATGTTTCTGCCAGCATCGGTCTTGGTCAGACGGTTATCAGCGTCGCTTCGACTCTTCTGACTCCTCGACTTCGTACTCGGTAGAGTCGGCTCCTGCAGCATACGGGAATGCCTTCTCATAAAGTTTCATATCGTAAACACTCCCCTTCATTCCTGGGGCGCGTAAGGGGCTGGCTCGCTTGACTACTCCGGTGAGGTCGGGGCAGTGCTTGTACTGCTGACGTGGCAGTCGCTTGGTGAGGAAGTCGGCTGCCATCTCAGTGCAGGGGCAGTACGCGAGGTCAACTTTGCCTTGGTCAATTTCGTCCTTGACGAAAAAATACCGAAGCGCGATGTGCTTCGTGCGGTTCACGAATCCTGACTTGTTCGCGATCCCGTAGAGGGATTTCTTCAACTGACAGACCCTTGGGTCTCCTTCCCCGTAGGTGTGTGGCTGTTCCATGAAGATGGTTGCATCCACCAACGCGTATAAAAACGCGTTCTTGTCGTCGATCTGTCGTAGTGGCAAGTGTTTAGTGGCGGCAATGGCGAGTAGAATTCTGACAGAGGTGTGACGACTGACGGGAGCAAAGGTTTGATCGAAATCAATGCCGTGACGCTGGTCATACCCGCGTACGACCCAGCGTGCTTTGAAGCGCTCGATAGTGCCGTCAGCGTTGGCTTCTAGACAGAAGACCCAATTTCCGCTTAGCACCCTCCTCCCCTTCACTGCTGCACGATCGACTAGGACACATGTGTCGCGTGATTCCAGTGCCCTCAGTTCCGCGTCCATGGCAGCACGCCACTCCTTGGCGTGAGGACCGGTTAGGGCCTGGCGAGGGTTCTTGGGCTCGACGGCGCACGTGAGAGTAGTGACAGACGTGTGTAGGCCGAGAAGCTGCAGGCCGGACACATTGGTGGTGTCTGCAGTGGTGATCTCCACCGCATCGTCATCGTCACACTCGTGGGCAGTTGCGGAAGTGCTGGGCGGTGTGTGGCAATGCGATGGTCCTGGTACGGGGGCGCCGCCGTCATCGTCATCATCGTCGTCGCGCGGGTGTGGTGGGACGCCAGGATGGTCGTCGGCGGGGTCGTAGTCGAGTGTTGCTGCTGCCTCGTCCTCGGGAGTTGCAAAGTTGCGACCATTGTTGGCGTAGGCGCGTGCGACGTTGCGACGTTCATCCTCGATCCACTGCTGCAAGGTGAGACACTTGTAGAAGAGAACTCCACGAGCGGGGACGATCTGTTTGCTGTCGATGTCAAGAATCAGCCAACCCTGGTACTCGTGACTTAGCCCCAGGTGGACTCCCCAGCGTGCGCGGTGAGTGAACTTGCCAGTTGTGGCCGAAGTCGGCCGATACTGCACCATGCACCCCCAGACCCTCAGCATGGAGGTGTCTCCCCTTGAGCCGGTCCACTTCATGTGTGGGGAGAGATTGCCCCTGTTGGCCGTTGTGGAGAGAAGGTCGTGCAGGCGCACAGCGTGGTTCATGGCGTAGGGCCAGTACTTCTTGGGTAGGCCGGACTAATTCATAAGGGCGCGCACTTTCGTCATGAGAGTGCGGTTGATCTTTCAGCAACGCCTTGCTGCTGGTGGGCGTAGGGAAGAGAGATATGATGCTTGATCCCCTTCTCTACGACAACGCTCTCCAGCTTGTAGCTGCGGAATTCTTTGGCACCGTCAAATTGCCAGATTTTCAGCTTCTTCCCCGATTGTCGTTGCGCGTGTGCGAGCCAGATGCGAAAGACTTCAGGAGCCTTTGAGCGAACATCGACGTTGGCGACCCAGACGTGGCGTGAGTATGCGTCCACGAAGGTGAGTGTGTATCGTTCGCCGTTGATGCCGTCGAAGGTGAGCACGATGAAGTCGCTGTAGACTTTCTGCAGTTTCTTGTAGCGATTGGTACTAGGCTCTAGGGAGGGGTAGGCTTGGTGCGTGAGGGCCACAGTGGGACAGATGGTGCAGGTGGTTGGGTGTGATGTTCTGAGTGGTTCCGTGCCGTCGGGGCTCAGCAGTGCTCCTGGTAGGAAAACTTTAGCGCGGAGGCAGTTGTTGAATGTCTGACGCGAGGGGTGGCCGAGTCGCTGATGCCAGAGATCGTCTTCTGCGCGTATTCCGGGAGTACGCAGGTAACGTGCTTGATGTTCTGCCACCTCTGCTTCTGTCTCGTGAGGAATTTGGAGCACTGGTCCTTCCTCTTCTCCTGGTTCTGCTTCGTTGTGCGGCTCCTCTTCTTCTACTTCTGCTTCTACTTCTGTCTCGCCTTCTGCAGGTGCCGTCGTGAGGTAGAGCGCAAGGAAGTTGCGATATGGAATGATGTTGAGTGGAGTCCGCGTGCCTTCGATGAAGCGTGCGAAGGGATCTGGGCGGGAGATTGGTCCAAGTGAGTCGCGGGGTGGAGTTGGTGGCACGTTCCCCTCCTCAATCTCTGACCAATGATCTTTCCAGTGATAAGATGAGCGGGGTGGTGAGGGAATAGTGCGGGGGGGTCGTCCGAGTGTGACAGTGACTCGTGGGGGGGGGGGGTCTTTTGGCAGCCATCTCCCTCTCCACTTCTTCTATCTCCTCCTGGATAAGGTCGCCTTCGGCGAGGTCCCGACGTTCGGCATCGCCCCATTCGTTAGTTCCCAAGCCTTGAACTGTGCCTAAAGCACCAGTGGCGGATCCCCATGTTGCTCCTGTGCCTTTGTCGTTTCCTCCCCATCCTCCGGTTCGTGCTGACTCTTTGTCCCATCCAGCTGCGATGCGCTCCTCGTACAACTTTGCTTTCTTTTCTACCCTTGCCTTTTCTTCCTCCTCATGGATGCTGAGCTCCTCAGGTTCGTCTGGGTCTTTCCACTTTTTATCAATGGTTGTGCGGTAGACGTCGGGGGTGTAGGGTCGCGGACGATTTTCCTCATAAAAGGTCGTGCCGTGCGCTTCCTCCAGGATCCAGCGGAGGGTTTCGGTGCGTGGTGTTGGTCGCTGTTGCTCCGTCAGCCCCAGGCTTTCATCACGGATCCCAAAAACACGGTGAGTGGTGACGGCTAGCTCCATTTCCATCATCACTGTAGGTTCCGTCTTAGCGCTTTCCACCTCTTGAATCGACACGAGATCCTTTTTTACTTCTTCTGTGCGGCTTGCCGTTGGTGTGAAGCAGGTGGTGCAGATGCCGTCAGGACCGGGTTGGTGCAAGTTTATCTCTTCAGGGTGAGAGCTGCGGCGAATCAATGGTCGGCCATCTGGGTGCTGCCATGACTCCACGCTTAAGTTCGAGAAGTCTAGGGGGACGAGATCCACGAGCTCGTTTGATGATGCCTGACAGTTGGGGATGTCGAAGTCGAGCACGTAAACGCCGTTGAACGATCGAACTCTTCCGAGGTATTTATGCGACTCAACGGGTGTGTCTAGAGGAGCGTAGGTGAGGATGAGGTCGCACGTGTAGGGATCCGTAGCGAGCATCACTCCGCAGTCTCTGAGTTAACCTGCCGACAGTAAGTTGAAGCGTAGGTCCGGCACGTAGAGCACGTCATTAAACGTGATGTGCGTGCTACTGTCCCAGGCTTTTAGCACCACGATGCCTTGCGCATTTGCACGAAGTTGCTCGTTGTTGACGACGGTGACGTAGGTGGCGGGAGCGCGGTTGATGTTCGAGATGTA